TCCTAAATTGATATGTGTGGTGAATACGTAACTTACAAAGATAATATTGGGTCATTGGGAAAAGTCATAATGTGTTTTTCTATGCAAAAATGTGTCATGATTTTCCCAATGATCACTGAATTGTACTTGCGTGTAAATGAGTGAAATAAATGGTCTGTGAATTATATCTTAAAACTGTGGTTAAAAACCAACACAGTACTCTATCACAAGCACAGGTATCATCACAAGACTCAACAAGAGTCAATGAGATTCAGTTACATGCCTTTCAGTAGAAAAACCAGACAATCATGCTCTGTGTACATTGAAGCTGACTGAATATGCCAATACATCTGGGGATGTCAGAGTCACCTGATAGGAGGAGGCCTTCCTGAGAACCAATGGATTGGAGAGCAGAACTCAAAGACAGTGTTTCAAGTCTCTTAAAAGTTTCTTTCAGATTCAGATTGTGGATCCATTCAAACCTAAAGGCTATGCTATGTGAACTTTAAAATTATGTGATCTAGAGACAAGCATTTAGCGTAATGGCTATGTCACTGAACTCCCATGTAGTCAATGGTGGTTCGAGTCCCAGACCCAATGGCTTAAACTCATGCCGAGCGCATGTGTGTGTGCGTGCCCAAGATCCTGAAAGGAGAGAGGAGGAGAAGAAATTGCAGTGTGGCCATCTCCCCGGAGGGTGATTTCTCGCTTTCTGTCTCTCTGTCTTTCTGGCAAGTGCATGTGCCCTATAGCAAAAAAAAAAAAAATGTTATCTAGCACCAGCCTGTGGCCTGGAGGCTAAGGAGCTGAACACTACATGGCCAACTGTGAGCTACGAGTCTCGGACCAGGAGGCTTGAGAAACAAGCCAGGTGCATGTGCATGCATGCCAAAAAAAACAGAGCGAGATGGAAGAAACGGGATTGTGGCATGACCATTGCTCATTATTGGGGGTGAGGAGTACTTTCTCTCCCTCCCTCTCTTTGGTGAGTGTACATGTCCTGTGACAAATATTGAAAATGTTGGGGGGGAGAGTGATCTGGTCCAGTTTTGGTGGTGGTGAAGCAGTATGTACTAGACTGCAGTGCCAGAAGCTACATGGCTGACCCTTAAGTTTGGACTCTGAGTTGTCCTAAAAATATACTAGGTGCGCAGGCAATGAGGCCTAAGATCCTGGCAAGCTGGAAGGGGATTGTGGCATGATGACACTTTATCTTTCATGCACACACACTCACTCATGAATAGTAAAATTAAAAATGATACAATAGTTTCTTTCTCCCTTCTTTCTACAGCACATCCGCATCTATTTTGTTTTTTTCTTTATATTATTGTTCTTTTTTTAATTTATTATTTCAATTTATTTTATACATTCAATCACTTTACTTAGCTTGCAAAGTGAAAATTCCAACCTGTGTACATTTCACACCAGTACAGTTGACAATACTATATCCCTCAACAGAGAATTATTGGACTGCAGTTCGAATCCTGGACCCGGTAGCCTAAACTCATGCTGGGCATGAATGTGTGCTTGCCCAAGATCTAAAGAGGAAAATGAAGGAGAAGAGATTGCAGCATGGCCATCCCCTGTGGGGAGTGATTTCCCACTTTCTGTTTGTCTCTGTCTTTCTGGCGAGGGCACACACGCTATAGCCAAAAAAAAAACCACCTCTCAAAAAATATATAATAGTTTCTGGGAACCAGCAGTTAGTGTAATGGCTATGTCGCTGGACTCCACGTAGTCGACCGCAGTTCGTGTCCCGGACCCGGTGGCTTAAAACTCACGCCGGGCGCGTGTGCGTGCGTGCCCAAGATCCCGAGAGGAGAATGGAGGAGAAGGGATTGCGGCGTGATCATCCCCCCTGGGGGTGATTTCTCGCTTTCTGTCTCTATGTCTCTGTCTGTCTGGCAAGCGCATGCGCCCTACAGTGAAAATCTCTCTCAAAAAAAAAAAAAAAATATATATATAATAGTTTCTAACAAATTCTCCTTGGGGACTTAAAAATAATAACCTTGGGACCAGTGGTTAGCATAATGGCTATGTCGCTGAACTCCCACGTAGTCGACCGCGATTCGCCTCCTGGACCCGGGGGCTTAAAACTCACGTCGGGTGTGTGTGTGCCCAAGATCCCGAGAGGAGAATGGAGGAGAAGGGATTGCGGCGTGATCATCCCCCCTGGGGGTGATTGCTCGCTTTCTATCTCTATGTCTCTCTCTGTCTGTCTGGCGAGCATACGCGCCCTATAATAAAAACCTCTCCCAAAAAAAAGCAAAAAAAAAAAATTGATAATAATAACCCATTTAAGGTTTTATTTTCAAGTTTCTTTCCTTCCTTCTTTCATAAGAGGCACACAGAGACAGGTAGGCACCCTTAATAGGGTCTCATGTGGTGATTCCCCGCTCCAGCCAGCCAGCCAGCCAGAATCATGGGTGTGTACCATTCAACCCAAGAACTGAGCATCAACCTTCCTTAGGGCTCCAACATCATGGAGTACGGCATGCAACCCCTGTCCCAATGTGTCTGGGCCTGGTTTCTGCTGTTTCAAGACTTAATAGACAATACGATGTCTTTCAACATTCTGCAGATTGCAAAGGTGTGCTAAAGGGTGCCTGTGTTCACCAGAGAGGGAGAAGAGAAAGCACCCCCATGAGGAATAGTTCCACTGTAGTTCCTTCTCTTTCATCTCTCCTTCCTTTTGGGATTTTGGGCACACATGCACTTAGCATGTTTCTTAAGCTACCAGGTGTACAGAGCACTGTGGGGCTCAGCGTGGATTCAGTGATGACAGGACTACACTAAGCAGAAGATATGACACGTACACCTCAAGTCCTGCCTTGCCTACCAAACTGAAGGGACAGGAGGCCCTGCAGGAGTAACAACCAGACCTGATAGCTCCAGACATGCTGGTCCCCAAGCAGATGGGCTGACTCATCATGTGCTAATCTTAGGCACAAGAGCTAATCACTCTGTTCACCTTGGTGCAGAAAAGGAGCCCATTCCAAAGCCACTCTGCCATTTGCTCCCGGCTCCATGATAAGAGCACATTGCTCACAGCTACTCGGAGAGGCTTATGGATCCTAGTACCTAAGACTCCATCCGAGACTTGCTACCTCCCATCCGGGTCTCAGCACTTACCCTCCGACTCTCTGTGAGACCTCTAGGAACGCATCAAATTGACTTTCTTCCTTTGAGGCTAGATACTTGAGACACACAAGGACCGACAACTGGTTCTTTGCCTCCAGAGGCTGCTTATAGTGATGGGCTGGTGTGAGTTGTTCTCATCCTTTAACCTGACTGCTTTGCTGTGCTACATTTTATGCTATGTCATAAAAGTCTTGATGTTGTGAGAAGACAGGAACAAATCAGGGGTCTCATTCCCTCCTTTGAGACAGCAGCACAGGGACTTGACTGGTTGCCTTACCATCAACACCTCACTTGGCAATTTTTATCAGGTAGAGAGTTTATTAAGGAAGAAAGCCTTGTAATTTGATACATCTCAAGAGAACCTGAATTGTCACTAAACTTTTGCAACTGTTATAACTACGAATAGAAATGACATCTTTCTAATGTCACTGGAGACTTTTACCTCAACAGGTGGGCTTCTGACTTAGCCCAAATTTACAAGTACATTCAGAGTATCAAGAATGTAAGTACTGCCTCACTGACTTCCAACAAAGCATTTAGAATTCCTCAAGGTCCTCAAGATTATTTCTTTCTTTTTCAAGGCTTTTCAAAGTAAACTTTAACTTGCATTTCTATAGCCAGGGCTGGTAAGCTATTCTCCCTTTATCTCAAATTGAATGCTTTCCCTTGAGTTTTACACAGTAGAGGCATGCTTCCATGGAAGGCGGGGAGGGAGGCAAATCTGGTTAGACAAAACAGAGATGCTTGAAATTCACTTTCCTAAAGACACTTTAAACAACATTTGATTAACTCCCTAAACAGCTGAGCTCCTATTAGGTCTAAGACACTGATAATCAGAAGGGGAGGCACTCCAGTGCAATCACAGAGGCAATATAGACAGAGGACAAAGCTTTGGGGCAAGTTTATCTGGCTATGGAATTGTTTTCAAAGAAGCCTGCAAGTACAGCCAGATGTAGGCCAGTAACGACCGGTATCTCCTGACCAAAAAAAAAAGAAGACAACCTACAGGAATAGTGAATCTATAGGATCTACTGTGATGGTTTGGATGCACTCCAGGCCTGTGAAGCCAAGAGCTTAAATGAGCAAACTGAATTTCCTAGAGGGCAGTGTTAAATTTTATGGTAGGCCATAAAATACTTCCCTTCCAATGTGATGGCTCCATTTTACTGAGCATGTACCATGTGCCAGCAGCAGATCTAAATGTCTTACAGGAAACTCATTAACTTACCACAACCATCCTGTGAGGTAGGGAAATTATTGCTATCCCCACTTTGCAGATGAGAAAACCAGGGCAGAGTGGTTTATTTCCCCAAGCATGTATAGACAGTGAGTGATGGAGCCACGATCTAACCAAAGCCTTGGACTAGCAAGGACCGGTCTTAATCATTTCAGAAGACTTCCTAAAACAGGTTTTGTGGTTACAATAACCAAAGCCTTGGACTAGCAAGGACCTAAAACAGGTTTTGTGGTTACAGCATAGATGCCCTAGAGAGGGCCACTTTGGCTATATAGGAACAGTCCCCATAGTGATGCTGTGTGCCACCTTCTCTTCACCCCTCAATCCACATGCCGGAAATAATACTAAATTAAAAGAGAATAGCAAGAACATGAGCAAATACCTCTGCCTGCGTAACTTCACTCGTTTCGCCACAAATATTTTTTTTTTTTTTTGCTATAATGAACTGAACTCAACATGATGCCAAGTGTATTATTTTTTCTCAAGTTTGTCATCGAATCCATTGTGCCCTATGGTTTAATGTTTAACCACTGCTGATTCACTGAGCTAATAGTTTTATTCCATAATAATAAATTACTCCACAGTAGTGTGAATAATCTACCTGATTAAATCAGGGCAGGCTTCTTAGAAGTAACACGCTTACCTTTCAAAGTAATTTCAGAACTTCCAGTATATGTCCAATTTGCCTCCAAACACATCAGTCTTCCACACAAACTACTTAACTTCTTTGGTTCTAGGGACAGTAAGAAATATTTTATAATTGATAAGAAGCACATGCGAATGTGTTTACTTGATATGATCCTGCCGGCCCAAACAGTTTTCCTTAAAATTGCACTGAGCACACACTTAAATTTATACTAAAGTCTTATTGGGTGCGCTAAGTCACAGAAATAGCAGCAATAAAAATGAGATTGGGCCTCAAAATACCTACTAAGGTAGAATTCAGGCGCCCTCCTCCAAGTCCACTACCATCCTATCATTCCAAACCAAGCATACTTTTAATTTTCTCTATCAGACGTGACAACTGAATGGGGAGAAAAACATGAACGAAAACCCTATCATAACGCGCACGTTAACACAGAACAGAACGTAAATACGCTTCACAGCTAACCTACTGAACAGAAAAACCCCAAACCAGCTCTGCAGCCCGCCTTCTAAATCGCACCTCACGTTCATACACATCACCCGCTTGTCTCTGTATTTTAAAGGCAGACACTCGAAGTTCTACAAATAAATTGTTTTCAAGGAAATGATTCCCCGAAAGCTTGTCGCTACCCTCAGGACCCTAAGGACTTGTGCTTTGGGAATCCGCGTCCCTCGAGAGCACGTAAAGACGATAAGCACCTGTGCATTTAAAATGCCTGGAGCAGCTAAGTCCAGCCCCGGCAGAAGCATCGCCCACACAGCTGCGTGCGCGAGCCTCGTGCAGAAGCGAGCTCAGCAATCCAGTTCCAAGAGGCTTCGCTCAATAAGGGCGGGGAAGAGCGCAACGCTCAAGAAATAAAAGCAAAACCAGGATTTTTTTTTTTCGTCATTCCAGCGACAACAGAATTAAAAACACAAGCAGCGCTCACGCCCACCCGCCTACCAACTGCTGGGTGTGTGTGTGGGTAGGT